CGGCACACCGCGTCTGACAGCACCACACACCACACGAGTCAACAAACTAACATCGATTGAAATAAGGGTAAAAGGGATTGGTGCGTGCATGCTGACCAAGATATTGACTAGACTTAGAATCAGTTCACTTAAAGATATAATCACTGGAGCACTAACTCGGGACAGAAGAGCCTCCAATAGCAACAGGTGGACCCATTGTGCGGTAAACACCATCAATACATTCGATATAACAAATACAGTCACTGAAAAGGGTGTCGACGAAATACATGCAGACTTTGTTATGCAAGCCCCTTGGGAATCTCCGCCAGCAGACCTTAAAAGATTATGGTTCTTGAAGGAAAAAAGAACCAGACTAATCCTCATCTGCTACGTAATATTGCGCAGATGCATATAGAAGCAAACTTGGCATCTGACAGCTTCCCATACTTCACAGATGGATCAGTAGACCAGCAGGGACAAGAAACCGGAGCTGCAGTTAAGGCAGGAAACTCTTAATAGTTGGAGACTCTCAAAAAGGTGTTCAACTTTACAGAGATGTTAGCCATTCAAAAGGCTTTGGAACATGCTCTTGCTAAACACCGACAACATGTTATCATACATACAGATTCAAGAATTGCCATTGAAATCTTGCAACAAGAACACATACGTGATAACATCCATCTGATCACAAATGTCATATCATTAATGCCAACACTCAAACGTCAAGACCGTCGGGTACTTATCAACTGGGTGCCAAGTCATGTGGGAATAATAGGAAATGACATTACAGACGAAGCTGCAAAACTTGCAACTAAGAGAAGAAATGTAGACATTTACATACCACAGAGTCTATCACAGATTAAGAAAGTAATTGAAAATAGAGGAATGCAAAAGATGTGCAGTGACCACAACACACCAGTTGCAACATCAGGATCTGCGGGTTGGTACAAGAATTCAGCAAACTCTGACCAATTATTTTGAGGAAAGGGGACAGTAGAACAAAAGAAGTACACTTACACCGCCTCAGGCTTGGATACCCATGTGCATGGGAAATAGGCTTACAGGTTCCAGAAGATAAGAGGAAATGTCAGCACTGTGGAGAAATGCCCGACAGACCACTGGAACATTATCTAACACAGTGCACAGTTACAAACCCAATAAGATTTCAACTTAGATTCAACAGAGCAGAAGATGCTAAACACATTGGGCAAAATACTTACTGAAGCGACCATACGAGTTATAAATACTCATACAACACCCAAGTAAAACAGAAACAAGCAACAGTGGGCCAGCCAGAGGCTTAGGGCCCGCGCAGGAATCTCCCTGCCACAAAAAAAAAAAACAGTTCCCACTTCTATTAGTGATAGAATGGAACTATCTACAATAGTTCCATGCCATAATAGTTAATATCAAAGGACAAAAGCTGCCAACCTTCCTGTTGTTTAGACTAAAACCAATGATACAATTTTGAGTTCGTGGAAATTCGGAATTTCTTCTTGTCATTGTTGATGGTCGGGTTAAGGGGGAGTGTGCACGATGGGTTCATCCGCCCCATGACTGCACCTTTGGATTTTCCTTTGAATGTTATTTGGTTTAAACAAAATTGTTAGCATGGGGTTATTAGTCAGGGACTGTCAGCCTGGGACTGTTAGTCAGGGACTGTCAGCCTGGGACTGTTAGTCAGGGACTGTCAGCCTGGGACTGTTAGTCAGGGACTGTCAGCCTGGGACTGTTAGTCAGGGACTGTCAGCCTGGGACTGTTAGTCAGGGACTGTCAGCCTGGGACTGTTAGTCAGGGACTGTCAGCCTGGGACTGTTAGTCAGGGAGCCTGGGACTGTTAGTCAGGGACTGTCTGGGACTGTTAGTCAGGGACTGTCAGCCTGGGACTGTTAGTCAGGGACTGTCAGCCTGGGACTGTTAGTCAGGGACTGTCAGCCTGGGACTGTTAGTCAGGGACTGTCAGCCTGGGACTGTTAGTCAAGGACTGTCAGTCAGGGACTGTCAGGCCAACCTGTCCTCTTAAAAAGAACGTCGCTTTTGGCCGTTTGCCGGTATGACCGAATTTGGACGTAATTTGAAAACTAAAAAAAAATTAAAATAAATTTGGGATTTTTTTTTTCAACAACAGTAAGTTAAGGGTCCTGTGATAGGTTAGGTGGGCAGGAAATTCTCATAAAGTTTCTAAACGTTATGAAAAACGTTAATTTAAAGTGTCCTCTCATAACCTCTGCGCGTAGGCCGGACGACTCAAAAAGAAAACGGAACAGAACGTCACTTATGTGAGTCGATTTCATTTCAAATTACGTCCAAATTTGGCCATAGAGCGCATACCAGCCAAAAGTGACGTTATTTTTAAGAGGACGGGTTGGTCAGGCATGGACTGTCAGCCTAGGACTGTCAATTAGGGACTGTCAATTAGGGACTGTCAGACAGGAACCGTCAGCCAGGGACCGTCAGCCAGGGACCGTCAGCCAGGGACCGTCAGCCAGGGACCGTCAGCCAGGGACCGTCAGTCAGGGACCGTCAGCCAGGGACCGTCAGACAGGGACCGTCAGCCAGGGACCGTCAGCCAGGGACCGTTGCAGCATCTCTAACATTCGAAATGTTTGCAATACTATATTCAAACCCGAATATTATATTTGTAATCAAACCGTTAAATAATACATTAGATCCGTTGTATAATACATCCGTACCCGGGGCGTCAGGCACTGTATCAAGGAACAAAATAATGCAATACCACTCGAATTTGTATCTGTCATACAATCAACAATTTAAATGCACACTCTTTACTATTTAACTAATGTAGTATGTTGAACAATTGTATATTAAGAGGGGCCATGGTGAACGGAGCAGCGACCCGTCATCACTGGACCTAAATGTTCAACCGTGTTGTTGAATATTTGGATAAATCATTGAACATGAATGAACTCACTTATTGCATTAAATTTACAGCACGTCCTCATGCAGGTCAAGTGCCGGTCCGTGCAGTGGTCATCTGCACGCCCGCCAGTACACGTGCACGGTCGCCAGTACACTTGCATGGCCGCCAGTACACCTGCACGACCACCAGTACACCTGCACGACGGCCAGTACACGTGCACGACCACCAGTACACCTGCAGGAACACCAGTACACCTGCACGACCACCAGTACACCTGCAGGAACACCAGTACACCTGCACGACCACCAGTACACCTGCAGGAACACCAGTACACCTGCAGGAACACCAGTACACCTGAAGGAACACCAGTACACCTGCACGACCACCAGTACACCTGCAGGAACACCAGTACACCTGCAGGAACACCAGTACACCTGCAGGAACACCAGTACACCTGCACGACCACCAGTACACCTGCACGACCACCAGTACACCTGCACGACCACCAGTGCACCTGCAGGAACACCATTACACCTGCACGACCACCAGTACACCTGCAGGAACACCAGTACACCTGCAGGAACACCAGTACACCTGCACGACCACCAGTACACCTGCACGACCACCAGTACACCTGCACGACCACCAGTACACCTGCAGGAACACCAGTACACCTGCAGGAACACCAGTACACCTACAGGAACACCAGTACACCTGCACGACCACCAGTACACCTGCACGACCACCAGTACACCTGCAGGAACACCAGTACACCTGCAGGAACACCAGTACACCTGCAGGAACACCAGTACACCTGCAGGAACACCAGTACACCTGCAGGAACACCAGTACACCTGCACGACCACCAGTACACCTGCAGGAACACCAGTACACCTGCACGAACACCAGTACACTTGCACGACCACCAGTACACCTGCACGACCACCAGTACACCTGCACGACCACCAGTACACCTGCACGAACACCAGTACACTTGCACGAACACCAGTACACCTGCACGACCACCAGTACACCTGCACGACCACCAGTACACCTGCACGACCACCAGTACACCTGCACGACCACCAGTACACCTGCACGACCACCAGTACACCTGCAGGAACACCAGTACACCTGCACGACCACCAGTACACCTGCACGAACACCAGTACACCTGCACGAACACCAGTACACATGCACGACCACCAGTACACCTGCACGACCACCAGTACACCTGCACGAACACCAGTACACCTGCACGAACACCAGTACACTTGCACGAACACCAGTACACCTGCACGACCACCAGTACACCTACACGACCACCAGTACACCTGCACGACCACCAGTACACCTGCACGACCACCAGTACACATGCACGAACACCAGTACACCTGCAGGAACACCAGTACACCTGCACGAACACCAGTACACCTGCACGAACACCAGTACACCTGCACGAACACCAGTACACCTGCACGAACACCAGTACACCTGCACGACCACCAGTACACCTGCACGACCACCAATACACATGCACGAACACCCGGGGAGTGTCAAGCGACGAGAGTTTGGGTCGACCCTAAAATGGTGTTGGAAAGAAGACAAAACAAATGAAAATAAACAAATTGGGTGATCCCAAACTGGCCTCATAAAAGGTATGGCCCCAAAATAGGGTCCGCAAAGTAGTGGGTCTTCATGAAATAATCCCTAACAAGTGTTCCAAAATAGGGGTCAAAAAAGAGGGCGCCGTGCAAGCCGCATGTGACGGCGTTGGCGAGGCGGGGCGGGGGAGGGAGGGGAGAGGGGGAGCGGGGGGGGGAGAGGGGGAGCGGGGCGGGGCGGGGCGGGGAGGGAGGGACGCGGAGAGGCGGGGCGGGGCGGGGCGGGGCGGGGCGGGGCGGGGCGGGGCGGGGCGGGGCGAGGCGGGGCGGGGCGGGGCGGGGCGGGGCGGGGCGAGGCGGGGCGGGGCGGGGCGGGGCGGGGCGGGGCGAGGCGGGGCGGGGCGGGGGGGCGGGGCGGGGCGGGGCGGGGCGAGGCGAGGCGAGGCGAGGCGAGGCGAGGCGAGGCGAGGCGAGGCGAGGCGGGGAGGGGAGGGGCGGGTCCCAAAAATGGCAAGCGCTCTCCTAACATATGACCTCACTTGACGAACTTTCTAAAACTGGGGGCGAGGCGTCCCAAAGTTGGGGGGCGTGGCGTCCCAAAGTTAGGGGGCAAGGCGTCCCAAAGTTGGGGGTGGGCGGTGTCCCAAAGTTGGGGGTGGGCGGTGTCCCAAAGTTGGAGGCGTGGCGTCCCAAAGTTGGGGGGCGTGGCGTCCCAAAGTTGGGGGGCGTGGCGTCCCAAAGTTGGGGGGCGTGGCGTCCCAAAGTTGGGGGGCGTGGCGTCCCAAAGTTGGGGGGCGTGGCATCCCAAAGTTGGGGGCGTGGCGTCCCAAAGTTGGCGGCGTGGCGTCCCAAAGTTGGGGGGCGTGGCGTCCCAAAGTTGGGGGGCGTGGCGTCCCAAAGTTGGGGGGCGTGGCGTCCCAAAGTTGGGGGGCGTGGCGTCCCAAAGTTGGGGGGCGTGGCGTCCCAAAGTTGGCGGCGTGGCGTCCCAAATTTGGGGACGTGGCGTCCCGAAAAATGCTTTGGCTTGACGCTTCAACAAAATAGGCAGGTCGAGGGCGACCCAAATTTGCGGGTGGTCGTGCCAGAAGTGGGCAGCAGGCGGCCGGTGGCGGCCCGCTGCAACATCCTAATTTGTCACAGGTGGACGGAGACAAATGTCAAGCCGGGGAGACGTCTGTATGCACGCTCATGATTTGCATAACATCCCTGCTTGCCCAGCGACACCCCCCTACCCCGAGGGTAGCCTCCCCACCACCACCCCTACACACACACACGACCCTCCCCACCACCACCACCACCTCCCCAACCACTCCTTACACTCATCACACCTGTAAACACATTATACACAGCCTCATATTGCTCTACATACTCAGAGCTCTGATACCGGCTACAGCAACACCCGCAGCCACAACACCTGATGCAGCAACACGTGCACGCAAAGTTTATTCCTCTCTCTCGTGAGATTTTTTTGAAGAGACATCTCTTCATGTTTGTGGCCAATAATCCCCCATATATCCACTAGATCCACTAATTGTCTTCTGATGTTATATCAGTGACTTCCTCCCTCCCCCTCCCCTCGTACTCAACACCCACACCACAACAAAACAGTTCGATACCACCTCCACACTCCGAGAGACAAAATGTGTTCTCACTTAAGTGGTGGATCACTCTACTAACTCCTCCCTTCCCGCACTCCCTCTATATAGGAGCCTGCCACCTGGAGGGGGTTCTGGGAGTTGTTCTACTCCTCAAGCCCGGGCTGGGGCCAGGCTTGGGTTCTGAGAGCTTGGTCCAACAGGCTGTTGCCTGAGGCGTCCCGAATGTCCACATATCCACTACAACCCAGTTGGTCTGACAATTCTTGCAGAAGTATGTCCAGTTTTTCTTGAAGAAAAAACATACTTCATGAAGAAAAACTGAAAAAAACACTTTTGTTCTGGCAATATCTCTTATACTTACCTGGAGGATATTGAAGGTGAACGTTCCTTCAGTGTTCGCTGTGCCTGTGGCACCTCTCCTCTTCACTGGCACTATTCTGCATTTCCTTCCATATCGTTTACTCCAATATGTTGTTAATTCACTTTCGCAAATTTGAGACCTGACCTTCCAGTATTTTCCATGTATATGGGTTTGGTATAGATTAGATGCTTTATCGTGTCTATGTATTCCCTATATTTCAGCCATCTCTGCTGCTCTGAAAGGGGTTAGTAAATATCGAGTAGTAGTCAAGGCGAAAGTGATTTCAACAGTATTACCATTTTGGGCAGTTTGTTGTTGCCTTCAACCTCGTTCTGACAGTTCGTGCGACGGCGCTGGAACCAATCGCATTGGCATATGCCTTTCCATTTTTTTTTTTTTGCCGCGTGGAGAGGGGGGGGGGATCTGCTGCATGGGTGACAGCTTCTCCCCCCCCCCCCGTATCAACCTACCTTGGCTTTGTGCCCTGGTGAGGCCACTCCAGACCGACAACCAGAGCGCAACTCCACAGTCTCCTGAGACTGGAGGATGCCTACTACTACTAGATTTGAAGGTTCTCAAATCCATCCTATCACTTTTATCTTATGGGTGACGCTATGTTTGCTTGGTTATGCTCCTTAAATGTTAGGTAGTCAAACATTTTTTCCCAGATCCTCTATTCATACTGCTTTCTTACTATGGGGAGATTTGCTAGTGTCTTGTACCCTGAATTTTGTTTAAGGTCCTCGTTTTTATCATTCCTAAGGGCCTGGTATTTATCACTGTTAAAGACCATGTTATTTTCCGCAGCCTAATCGAAAACTTTATTAATACCAGCTTGAAGTTTTCCAATGTCTTCGGCAGAAGTAAGGTTAATGGTGACTTTTGTATCCTCTGCACAAGATGACACGAAGTTGTGACGTATTTGTGTCTATATATCTGATATTAGAATAAGGAAAAGCAGTGGTACAAGATCTGTGTCCTGAGGTACAGAGATTTACAGAGAGGTGCTTGGACTCGATTTTATTTGGGCGATTGTTACTCTGTTCTGTTTGACAGAAAATTTAATATCTATCGCCGTACTTAGCCTGTTATTCCAATTGACCTCATTTGACCTCTAATCTTAACTAGGCTGCTATACTGCCCAATTTTATAATTCCCTTTCAAGAAAAATACAGTTTTTGTGTATTTACTTTCTGTAAATACAAAAATACAGAGTAAATGTGAGCAGACTGTGAGAAGGTGGATTTTCTCAACCCAATGTGTACACCCAAGATGCACATGACCTGACCACCGCGGTGTGCACAAGAGGAGACATCAGCCCAGTACCCCAACCACTAGTGTGCACTGCCACACTGATGTTCCCAGTCACACTCCCCGTTGCTCCCCGTTACTCCCCGTTACTCCCCACAACAGGGATACGCATCAAGAGGTGTACCAGTACACTTCTTGGTCAAATTCACAGAATTTGCTCGTGTACCCTAAGTTCAGGGCTAAATTATACTTGCTGGTTGGTCAGTAACCTCTTGCGGGGTGGGGGGGGGGCCTTCACGCGCCAGGTTCCCGCCAAACCTTTGTACTTCCTCCTCTGGGCCACTACATTCAAAACTATGTATGATAACACATCTGTTCCCACCAGACAGCTCCTGTCCCCCACCATACAGCTCCTGTCCCCACCAGTCGGGAGCCGGTCGGCCGAGCGGACAGCACGTTGGACTTGTGATCCTATGGTCCTGGGTTCGATCCCAGGCGCCAGCGAGAAACAATGGGCAGAGTTTCTTTCACCCTATGCCCCTGTTACCTAGCAGTAAAATAGGTACCTGGGTGTTAGTCAGCTGTCACGGGCTGCTTCCTGGGGGTGGAGGTCTGGTCGAGGACTGGGTCGCGGGGACACTAAAAACCCCCGAAATCATCTCAAGATAACCAGACAGCTCCTGTCCCGCACCAGACAGCTCCTGTCCCCACCAGACAGCTCCTGGCCAAATTAGACGACCTCAGGGTATAACAGACAGCCTGTACCAACCCCGGAATGCCCCACCCGTGACAGGGTGCTCCTGGCCGCGCTAGGCTGCCTAGTGTGTTGGGCACACCAGGATCCGTACAAGATCACACCGCCGCCCATGCCCCTGCCCCCGTCCATGCCCATGGCCATGCCCCTGCTGCCCCATCACGCCCGCCCATGCCAGGCTGCTCCCGCCCACCAGGAGGGTCGTGAGCGCGGGTCGTGTAGTGAGAGTGGCAGCCAGTTATTACCAAACACTCAAATTAATTTATGGACACACGAGAGCCAACCCACGCCCACCCTCCTGCTGACCCACCGCCGCCCACCTTCCTGCTGACCCACCGCCGCCGCCCACCCTCCTGCTGACCCACCGCCGCCGCCCACCCTCCTGCTGACCCACCACCGCCGCCCACCCTCCTGCTGACCCACCACCGCCCGCGAGTGTGCACTCTTGACCCGGCCGGACTTGTTTTCAAAAAACAAAACAAGGACCCAAAATCTGCCGGCATTATAAATGGGGGTGATTGTAAGCATGGGATATCGGGGAGAAGAAATGGACTATGTATATATGTTCATCCCAGAAAGTGCAGGAACCTTCTTAGTACAGGTAAATGTACCAAAAGCTGTGATCTCTTTTACCCAGAACTGTGCAAGAACTCATAAAATAAGAATGAATGTTTCAACGCAGAATGTGCAGCTTTTTATATAAAAGGTACCAAGCGAATAAGACCGACAAACCACTTCAATGAAAGCAGCCACAACACTATTTACCAAGATGATTTTTTAGAAAAAGGAGGAGGAGAAGAATGGCTAAAAATGTCCAGACTCTACCACCAACTCGGTCAAAACCTGGAGATGACGCACAGTGACCTCCCTACCAGAGCCTCAGATATTAACACCAAGTAAGGCATCCAGCACTTCCACTAACATAACATCATTTTTATTTGTCAACATTCAAGGTATAAAAACACGCAAATCTAACAAAGTGCACTTCATAGATGGCCTCTTACATGAGGCAAATGCAGTGTTTGCAGACCTAACGGAAACTCACACCAAGGACTACCATGATGGTGAAATATGGATTTCGGAGCACAATCTTTTCAGATGTGACAGGAAACACAGGCTTCTGGGTGGGGGTCAGCCTCTACATCAAGGACACACTCATCTGTACTGACCTG